TCTGAAATTTTCTTTCCTTGATGTGTCTTTTCTGGTTTTGGTACCAGGGTGATAACTAGCTTCATAGAATGAGTTTGAAAGGATTCCTTCCTTTTCTATTTCATAGAATAATTTGAGGATCATTGGTGTTGATTCTTCTTTGAAGGTCTGGTAGAACTCAGCTGAAAATCCATCTGGTCCTGGGCTTTTCTTAGTTGGTAGGTTTTTGATAACATCTTCAATTTCATTACTTGAAATTGATCCGTTTTAATTGTCTATGTCCTCTTCATTCAGTTTGGGTAGGTCGTATGTCTCTAGAACTTTGTTGTCTTCAAGATATTCTATTTTATTAGAGTATAAAATTTTTCAAAATAATTTCTGATTATCATCTGCATTTCAGTAGTGTCAGTCATGATATTTCCTTTTTCATCACAAATTTTATTTGAGTTTTCTCACTCTTTGTTAGCTTGGCTATGTGTTTATCAATGTTATTTATTTTTTTTCAAAGAACCAACATTTTGTTTTCTCAATTTTTTTAATTATTTCTTTTGTTTCAATTTCATTGATTTCAGCTCTGATTTTAATTTGTGTCTTCTGCTTTTGGTGATGATTTGTTCTTCTTTTTTCTAAGGCTTTAACATGTAATATTAGATAAATATTTATAATATATTTATAATATAATATTAAATAAATATTTGGCAATTTCCTATTCTTTTAATGAATGAGTTCAATGCAATTAACTTTCCTCTTAGGAGTGCCTTCATAGTGTCGCAGATAGTTCATTATGTTGTATTGCTCTTCTCATTTACCTCTTAAGAATTTTTTTTTATTTCATCACTGATTTCTTCTGCTATCCATGGGTCACTCAGTATCATGTTTTTTAGTCCCCAGGTGTTAGAAAAGCTTCTATTTTTTATTTCATTGTTGATTTCCAATTTCATTCCATTATGATCTGATAGAATGCAAAGTATTATCTCTATTTTTTTTATTTGCTAAATGTTGCTTTGTGGTCTAAGATATTGCCTATTTTAGAGAAGGATCCATGTGTTGCTTCTCTGCTAAGAAGAAAGTAATTCATTCATTGATGGATGAAATACTCAATATGTCTGTTAAGTCTAAATTATTGATTGTATTATTTAATTCTATCATTTCTTTATTTAATTTTTGTTTGGAGGATCTATCCCATGGTGAGAGAGGTATGTTAAAGTCACCCAGTATTGGGGCTGGGGATGTGGCTCAAACGGTAGCGCGCGGCCAGGGTTCGATCCTCAGCACCACATACCAACAAAGATGTTGTGTCCGCCGAGAACTAAAAAAATAAATATTAAAAAAAAAAAGTCACCCAGTATTATTGTGTTATGGTCTATTTGATTCTTGAAATTAAGAAGGGTTTATTTGATGTATGTATTCTCCATTTGTGGGGCCATAAATATTCATGATTATTGTACTTATTGATGTATAATTCATTTAAGCAGTATGAAATGTCCTTCTTTGTTCCTTCTGATGAACTTTGGCTTGAAGTCCATTTTATCTGATATGAAGATAGAAATCCCTGCTTGTTTATGAGATCCATGTGAATGATATGTTTTTTTCCCATCATTTTACCTTCAGTCTGTGGATGTCTTTGCCTATGAGTTCTGTCTTTTGGAGACAGTATAATTTTGGGTCTTTTTTTTTTAAAATCCAATCTGGCAGTCTATGTCTTTTGATTGATGAGTTTTCTTCAAAGTTATTACTGATGTATTATTTTTATTCCTTGTCATTTTGATTTATTTCTGGTTTTTAATTTGAATTAGTTTCTCCTTTGATTGATTATTCCTTTTGTGTAGTTCCTCCCTTTGCTGGTTTTCACTTTAATTTTTTATGAAATATTTTGCTAAGATTGTTCTGTAGTGCAGGTTTTCTTTTTTTTTTTTTTTTTTTTTTTTTTAGAATTTTCAATATTTATTTTTTTTTAGTTCTCGGCAGACACAACATCCTTGTTGGTATGTGGTGCTGAGGATCAAACCCGGGCCGCACGCATGCCAGATGAGCGCGCTACCACCCGAGCCACATCCCCAGCCCCTAGTGCAGGTTTTCTAGTTGTGAATTCTTTTAACTTATGTTTATCATGAAAGGTTTTATATATATATATATATGTATATATATATATATATATATATGTATGTATGTTATAGTTGGACACAATACCTTTGTTTAATTTATTTATTTTTATGTAGTGCTGAGGATTGAACTCAGGGTCTTGCATGTGCAAGGCGAGCACTCTGCCTCTGAGCCACAACCCCAGCCCTATCATGAAAGGTTTTTATTTTATTGTCAAATCTGAAACTTAATTTTTCTGGGCATAGTATGCTTGGTTGGCATCCATTTTCTTTCAGAGCTTTGTATGTATTATTTTAGAACCTCCCAGCTTTGAGGGTCTATGTTGAGAAATCAGCTGAGATTCAGACTGGTTTCCTTCTAAATGTATCTGACATTTTTTTTCTTTGGCAGCCTTTAAAATTCTATCCTGTTAGGATAGGCATTTTCATAATAATGTGCCTTGGTGTGGGTCTGTTGTAATATTGTACATTTGTGGTCCTATAATCCTCCTGAATTGGATTTTCCATTTCATTCTTTGGGGTTGAGAACTTTTCTGATATTATTTCTTTCATTGAAAAAACACTAAAGTGCATTCCTTTAGTGTGTATCTTCATGCCTTCATTTATCCCGATAGATCTTAAATTTGATCTATTAATGTTATCCCATATTTCTTGGAAGTTCTGTTCATGGTCTCTTAACATCTTTTCTCCGCGGTCTATTTTATTTTCAAGATTATATATTTTGTCTTTATTGCCTAAAACTCTGTCCCTTTTCTTAAAATTTCCTTAGTGCACTATTTGAAAAATCTTGTTTCTTTGTTAATGATTTCATTTTATATATTTTTCATCGAAATTCTATAACTTCTATAGCTAATTAGATAACTTTTTATAGTATTTAATAATGTACAAAAGTAGTTTTCTACATTATTAGGAATGCGGCATGCTTGTCCCTATAATAATACATGTTTTACTTTTTTTGGGGCGGTGTGTGTGGTGGGGTTTAATATTTTTATTGTAGCAACACAAAATTTGCCATCTTAACCATTTTTTGATATGCAATTTAGTGGCATTATATTCACAATGTTGTGCAGCCATCCCTGATACTTCCAAAACTTATTCATTATCCCTCATGGAAGCTTTATAAACATTTACCAACAGCTTCCCATTTCCTTTCTCTCTAGCTCTTGGTAACCATTAATCTTTCTGTTTCTATGAATTTGCCAAATCTCTGTTATGGATTACTTCTAAGAAGTACAGATAAAATTCATTATGTAAAATATCTCTTTATAGTTACTTGGTTATTTGCTATTATTACCCATAGTTTCTTTTTTATCTATTACCCCATAACAATTTCTCCACAACTTAGTGTCTTTGAAAAAAATCATATATTATTTCTCAGGTTATCTGTGAATGCACATTCAACTAGAGTACAACAGGGATGATAGATCTACTCCATGATAACTGTGGCCTTCACTAGAAGATTTTGAAACTGGGGCCTAGAATATCTGAAAGCTTGTTCACTCATATGTTTGGCAATTGATGCTGGCTGCTACCTGTGGGCCTTTCTGGGTTATCCACTGGAATATCAGCACATGGTTTTCCCATGTGGCCTGAGCTTCCCCATAACATGGTGACAGGTTCCAAAGGCAAGCATTCCGAGAGAGAAAGGGAAAGTGAGAGAGTGGGCCAGCATGGAGGTGGAGGTCATATTACCCTCAGTGACCTGGCCTAAGAAGTCACACAGTGTCACTTTAACTGTATTCTAAGGGATGTGACAGTTACAGAGGTCTACACAGGTTTTGGGAAGAAGACCACAGACTTTGCCTCTCAGTGGAGCCACATTAGTGGAGCATGTGAGATGGGATAAGTATTTATGTGGTCATCTTTGGAAATACAGTCTGCCACAATGTGTGTCCAGCATAGTTCCCAATTCAGTCCATAGCAGGACTTCTCTAAAATTAACACTTTACCTCAACTACTAACTAATTGATCATGGAGATAGTTATACTTTCTCTCAGTAGGAAGTTGAGATTTATGCATTAAAAAGAAGATGAAAAATATAGATAATGCTGTAAGGGTTCTTAGACAAAATAAGTATATTTCTTAGAAATAAGCTAGTTATTAAATATATTTCTTAGAAACTAGATAGTTATTTAAATGTTTCTATTAAAGAAGCAGTTAATAGTTTTACTGCTATTTTCAAATGTTTTCTGGTCAGGGTAACATTTTACTTTAAGTAGCATTGTTTATGAATACTATGTTTATAGTTTGGGCATGAAAGTACTTTTCTAGATTCTTTTTTTATGGGGCAGGTTACTGGGTATTGAACCCCAAGCACTTTGCCATTGAGCTACATCCCCAGCCATTTTCATTTTTTGTTTTCAGACAGGGTCTCAATAAGTTGCTTGCTAAGTAGCTGCAAGTGGCCTTGAATTTGTGATCTTCTTGCCTCAGCTTCCTGGGTCATGGGAATTACAGGCTAGGGTTACTGCTCACCTTAGGTTCTTGATTTATTTGAAGTGTTTAAATAAATGATTGCTTTCTTTCTCTGACATACATCTGACTAAGATAGTTTATGAAGTATATTTTTCATTGCATAGCTTATCTAACCACATTACCTAACTAACCTTTCTAAAAATTTTAGTTGCCTCATCTAAAATATGGGAATAATAATAGTAGCTACCTCACAAAACTGGCATGAGGACTAAGTGAGTTAATAGATGTAAAGTGGGTGACACATAGTAAGTGCTAAAAAAAGATAAGAAGTGCATGAATGTCATAATGGTGTTATATATGAAAAATCATAGTATAATTTAATTCATTTCCAAAAAGGTTTTCACAGGATAATAGAATATGGTTAAGCTCTTTCATTTAGGAGAAATGATTGTGTTTTTTTTTTAATGATTGCTTCTTAATTTAATATCTGTTTGATTTTCCTAGTTTGAAAAAGAAAAACAGCATGATATTCAATCATTCTTTTTACCAAAACCTAAAAAGAGACAATTGGAGACCTCCTGTGATGAATCAAGGATATTTCAGGAGAAAAATACTATAGTGGCATCGAGGGATATCATTGATTCTGAACATAATTTTGAACCTGAAACTAAAAGATTGAAATCAGTCACCACCCATGACTGCAACAGCCTACCAGAGGAGAAACCATCCAGGCCTGGACAAACCAAAGACAATTTCATGGAACATGTCCATAAGGCCAAGTCCCTGACAACCATCCCAACCCCTCCTGGAAAGGATTGGCAGTGTGGTTTCTGCACCTATATCAATAATTCACTGTTATCTTATTGTGAAATGTGTGAGAATCCTCAAGGCAGTGCTGGTGAGTATGTTGGAAGGTGACTGTAGAGGTGGGGGCTGGAGATAACCTGTGTTCTTAGAAACTCCTGTGAACAAAGGTTAGTGTGACTCAGCACTGACTTTAGCTTTTAAAATGGATTAAGAACTTCACATAGTAAAGACTGTGAATCTGTCATAGAATGTGAAAAACTCCTAGTTTTATCAAGAATTCCCAAGCATCTATGATATGACATTAATTTGGCACAAATGGACATTTCTGATTAATGTCAGCAGGATGTGAATTCAGTGGGCAGAAATAGAAGCTCTGTTGCTATGGTAGCAAATATGCCTTATAGTTGTAGACCTTCTGCTTTCTTTCCTCTTTAGATACATTTGTTTTTAAAGAAATTATAGATTATTTTTATGTTTAAGTAGCAAAATAATTCAGTTCTTTACCTACTCGGTATACATTGGGCCATTTTGTTGCTTGACAGATAATTAAAAACTCCTCCATAGAGCTTTTTTTTTAATATTTTTTTTTTTTTAGCTGTAGATGGACGCAACACAATGCCTTTATTTTTATGTAGTGCTGAGAACCCAGGTCCCACCCATGCTAGGCGAGCGCTCTACCGCTGAGCCACAATCCCAGCCCAGCTTTTTTTTTTTTTTAATATATTTTTAGTTGTAGATGGACACAGTATATTTATTTATTTATTTTTATGTGATGCTGAAGATTGAACCCAGTGCCTCCGTAGAGCTTTAAAGAATGTATTTGATATATGTTTTATGAGTTTATTCTTTGGTAAAACATGTTTTTTTTTTTCTCTTTTTAGAACAGAGGGTTCAACCCAGGGTGCTTTACCACTAAGCTATATCCCAGCTCTTTTTATTTTTTATTTTGAGATAGAGTCTCATTAAGTTAACGAGGGCCTCACAACATTGTTGAGGCTGGCCTTGGACTTGGGATCCTCCTGCCTCAGCCTCTGAAGTTGCAGGGATTGTAAAACATATTATTTTTAAGTTAGAAATTATAAACATACCTCAAGTATGTTTTCATAGCATGATATGTCATTTCCTGATGTTTAGTTTCTAATATGGTTATCAATGCCCCTGATTATCATAAGAAAAAGATCATTAGTATTCTTTTTTTTTCCAATTTTAGAGAGCATTTTTATCCAGTGAAAAATGCCAAGTTGAGCTAGGCATGGTGGTCCACACCTGTAAACACAGTGGCTTGGGAGGTTGAGTCGGAAGGGCCACAAGTTCAAAACCAGCCTCAGCAGTTTAGTAAGGCCCTAAGCAGTTTAGCAAGACATTGTCTCAAAATAAAAAATAAAAGGGCTGAGGATGTGGCTCAGTGGTTAAGCACCCCCCAAAAAACCAAGTTAACATTTTTTGGAAACTAGAAATGCTCATTTTATTTATCAGTGGTAATAATTATTTACATCTAAATTTTCATTATATGATAATTCTTGGAATATTATCATTAACAAAGACTCTGATATTACAGTACTTTTCTTCCTAGCCAGGCACAGTGACACATGCCTGTAATCTCAAGTGACCCAGGAGGAAGAGGCAGGAGGATTGCAAGTTTAAGACCAGCCTCCTCCACTTAGGGAGACTCTATCTCAAAAAAAAAATTAAAAAGAGCGGGGATGTAGCTTCGTGATATAACGCCACTCAGTTTAATCACCCATACCACCAGAGAAAAAAAAGAAAAACATTTTTTTCCTTCCTGTCTTCTTCTCCTCTCTTAGTTTTGATGTAATCAGTGGCTAAGCCTTTCCTCTCTTACTTATGGGTGTTCCTACCAAAATTGACAAGTCTGCCATCTGGATGGTTATATTTGTTATGTGGGCACCTGTTGTCTGTGAACTAAATTGGAACTACAAGTTTATTCCATATAATATCCCTGTCATAATTAGCATGACTCCATGCAATTTACAACTGGTATAGGCAATAAAAATAAAGTATATTGTGACTATAAAATAATGTCAGTTCACATTAAGTATATAAGTTAATTGATTTAGCAAGAAAAATCATAGTTTAATATAGTTCTGATTTTTCCTTTGTGATACCAAGAACAACAATGAAATCCCTAGACTTAAAACTTAATAAGCAACTTCAAGAAAACTTCCTTTGTGAAGATAAACTACCTTTTGTGTTATTTTTGTTTTGTTTTGGTTTGGTTTGGTTTTTTACTAGGGATTGAACCCAGGGATCACTTTACCACTAAGCCATATCCCTACCCCTTTGTATTTTTTTATTTTGAGACAGAATTTCACTAAATTGCTGAAGGTCTCACTAAATTGCTGAGACTAGTCTCAAACTTGCAATTCTCCTACCTTGGCCTCCTGAGTCACTGGGAATACAGTTGTACACCACCATGCCTGGCTGAACTATCTTTTGTGAATATGAAAGTCTTTTAGAAAGAAATAAGTATTCTAAGTAACAGTGGTATTATCATAACTTAAAATTGAAATTATTCAAATTACATTACTATAATTTGGCATAATTATTTCTAACCTTGATTTTGATGGGCCTCAAAAGTATTAAAAAGGAAAATCAATTCCAAATCATCTAACTTTTTAAAAAATGTGTGTATAATACTTGAGGGTTGATCCCTGGGCCTCCTGCATGCTAGGCCAGCTCTTCACCTCTGAACTCTTGCTCAAATCTTTCATCTAATTTTTAAAAGAGTGCCTTCCATCTAACTCTTTAAGGACATGGTGGAATTCAAGAAATTATAGGAGTAATATTAGAATATTATAATCTGTAGTGGTTGCTAATACAGTCTCTACTGCATTAAAGAATATGTGGTATAGTAAACATTGATTGCCAATATTTATCAATATGCTCTTTTCTTGTGCTTTGTTCTTAACATCTGTAGTTTATAATTAATAATTTACAGTTCACATCATCCAAATTTATATCTCCTACTTGAATTTCAAACTGATATATCCAGTTGCTTATGTAACATCTTTACCTACTTGTCTAATGGAAATCTCAGGCTTAACATGTCCAGAATAGAACTCCTGGCTAATCACCACTGTCACATCAAATACCCAAATTTTCTCCCCAGTCTTCTCTATATGCTAAAAACCTATGTAGATTGAGCTTTCCATAATTGATCCATTAAGTAACCTCTAAAATAAATCTTGATTCCAACTACATTCTCTTTATTGTCACCATTCTACCCAAAACCCACCATCATCTTTGTCCCAAACCTTAGGAATCTCCCTTCTAGTCACCCCCTTGGGATCCTTTTATATAAAGCAACCACAGTGTCCTTTAAATAATGCATTATTATTCTTCTGCCTAGAACTATCTAATGGTATTAGATACATTTAGTATCTAATCCAAAAATGCAAGCCCTGAGCTAGGCTTCTAGGTTCATAACCAGCTCTCAGATCCAGTGGAATTCCTCTGAGAACTTGACCCTGACAACTTTTGCTCTATGTAATTTTTTAATATTTCTCTTTAATGTTTTTCTTTTTAATTCCAACATTTTTTTTACTGCCTTCCCCAATCTCCAATGCCTATACTCACAAAGACTCAGTTTGGTTCTCTTTATGTGAAGATCCACTATTTATTTGCTTACATTATTCTCTGTCTCCACCATGGAGACAGACAATGGCCTATGTAACATCTTCACCTACTTGTCTAATGGAAATATCAAACTTAACATGTCCAGAATAGAACTCCTGGCTAATCACCACTGTCATATCAAATACCCAAATTTTCTCCCCAGTCTTCTCTATATGCTAAACACCTATGTAGATTGAGCTACCAATTGCTACATGTGCTGCCACCAAGCCTGTTGCTCTGCCTCAACCAAACCTAGCCCATTCACACTGGGAGTGTGTTGTTTTGATTTTGGATTTATCTTTCTTATTCCTTATTGTCTTTCCAGCCTAGTTCTGGGGAAATAGTAGACTGCTGGTAAACATTTTGAAAGAATGAACAAACACTAACTAATTTTTCTTTGTTTAAGACCTAGCTATAATGTTTTTAACTATACTTTTAAGTATAAATTATTTTATCTTAATAATTCTTCAAATAGACAGCCTCAACCATATCCAGGACAAAAACAAAAATGAAGAAGATGATTCTCAAATAGACATCTCCAAAAAAGTACAAGCTAGCTTAGACTGTGACAAACAAGTGATTGCACAGTCTGAACCTAACCAGTTGGCTAATAGCAAGGAAGAAATGTCAGAAGTTAGGAGGGAAGACAGGCTCACAGCCCAATCAGATAATGGTAAGTCCTGTTTCTATTTACAGTGTCCAAATAATAACCATATATTTTAACATAGTATCATTTTGGATTTGTGATTGATGCCTTATTCCAGATGCCTTTTATTCCCTTTTATATTAAAAATGCCAACCATTCATAACCATATTCTTAAACACCAGATGATTGGAAGATCAGAGTGTGTCTGTTGGCATTCAGATACTACACATGGAGCAAAACCAATAAATTGCTACATGTGCTGCCACCAAGCCTGTTGCTCTGCCTCAACCAAACCTAGCCTGTTCATACTGGGAGTGTGTTGTTTTGATTTTGGGGTGGTGCTTTTGAAAAAATAGTTAAGATTGACAGATAAAGAACTCCTTAATAAATCATTAATTCTTTATATATGGAGGCTTTTAAATGGCTACACTTAATTGGCATTTTTTTTTATTTGAGAAATTGTTTTTAAGGTATGTAATTTTTAAAACTCTATGAATCATAACTACACTTGGAACCAACCATCTAGTGTTTCAGATGTATTTATTTGTTGCTTGATTCCATTTATTATTTATAACTGTGATAGTTAGCAAATACCAGCCTGTAGTCATACATCACTATCTTTTATGCACCAGCTGGCAAAAATCCGTGAGCACTTTTGGGTTGTTTTTCTTGTTACTCATTTAGGGACCACAGTAACCTACAGATTGATATTCCTATTAAAACCAACTCAAAATTGTTGGGATGAGACTGCTGAAATTTTTATTCTTTGTGGTTGTTAAACACTGATATAATTTAGAATCAGATTCATAGCTTTAAAATGAATCATTAAGGAATTTCTGAGCTCAAATCATCCTCTAATTTCTTCCTTTGCTCCTTCAATTCCTTCAATTCCTCAAGGGCTTCCCAAGAATATATTGAAGTGAATCCTGCTTAGGTCTAATTTTAGCAGCCTTTAAATAGACAGTATAGACTCGGGTAGCATATACTCTTTATGTCCAGGTTCCTTGTTTCTGCTGCAAATAAAACCTTAAGTGCTGATGAAGCTCTGGATGTAGGACAGCATATAGCTTAGTGGACTATAGCGTAGCATCATCACCTGGCAGTTATCAACTGGGCCAAGAGTCTTCATCTTTGACAGGGAAACATTGGCTTGTTAGCTATAAATTGGTCTCTTGATGGAGACATGTTTTAGCTTATACTGACAGTACTTAAAAAAAAAAAAAATCACCAGACTTAGAAATTCATTTCAGACAGTGAAATTTACATCGGCCTTATCCATTCTAGACAATGCCAGCATTTTCCCCTTTGCCTAGCCCTGTTTTGTTTGGTTTTGTTTTTGACTTTTCAGATCACTGGGATGATAATTCCACATAAGTCATAGGCTTCACATCTTCCCACTAATGTGAATTAGAAACAAAAAGAAGACAATAAAGGCACACTAGTTAATAAGTTAAAATGCTTATTCTTCTGATATTTGCTGTTTTAGAACCAGAGTAATACTCTGGAACAATAGTTTTGTTCTAACTGGAATTCCTGAGGTCTGAAATACATCATCTGTATTTTGAACCATAAAATTACCTTTCATAAGAACACTGAAAAGAGAAATATATTCCTTTAATGTAGTTGTCAGCTACCAAAAATGAATATCAACTGATTTGGGGTTCTTATAATTCTTTTTCTCAAAGAATGACTTCTGATCCTTGAGCATAGTTTATCAAAGTTTGAAGACACATTAATTATTAAGACACATTACTTATTTTATGGACCATTAAGAACGAGAAAAACTCTGCCAATTAAACTATGACAAAATATGTTTGTGATAGTCTAGACCTGGCCATACCATCACCTGTTCATTTTGACATTTTTGTTCATTTGTTTACTTTGAGGACGTGGCATTATCTCATGTCTCCAGTTGCTTTGCTTGGCATTGTAAGAGGCAAACCTTTTGAACATCTCAGTAACCACATGTAAGACAGCTTCTTCTATTTGAAGGCATCTCTTTTTCTTAGATCCCATGAAGCATTCAGTCACTCTTTTGCCAGAAAGTAAGAAATTGGGGTTATTTCCCTAGCGATACATATTTGCTTTTTAAATATCAAACCTACATTCTCCTGCTCTATAGTCAAATTTTTTGAACTATGATGACTTTTCATTTTGATACCAAATCATAGTGAAATTTTTTGAAGACATCTTGAAGTCAATTAAAATCAATATACATAGTAATAACAATGCATGCACCTCATGTGCAGTTTTGAAGTGACAATAGTATTATAGTTCTAACTAAGCTCATACATGCTTAGGCAATGATACCAACTTCACAACTACCACCTGGCCAGCAATGATTGTGAGAAGCAGATATTATTATTATAGACTCATAAGACACATCAGTTTCAGAGTTATTAAAGTACATTTTTAAATTTATGAAGTATAGGAATAAGCCATAAACCAAATTTGTGAAATGGCCAATGCCATGACATTACCAAGTGGAATGGCAGACAAATCATACACTTCCAGATCTGGAAAGTAATTAAAAGGTTACTAAGGAAATCTGGCTGAGTTAAGAGTACCAGCTCTAGAGTGAGATTACTGAGTTTACATCTTCTTACTAGTGATGTAACCTTGGGCAAGTTAATATGCCCTGGTTTCTTCCTATTTAAAATGCACTATTGCCAGGTGTGGTGGTGCACACCTGTAATCCCAGCAACTCGGGAAGTTGAGGCAAGAGGACCACAAGTTCAAGGCAAGCCTGGGCAACTTAACAAAACCCTGTCTCAAAATGAAAAGCAAGAAGGGTTGGGAATGTAGCTCAGTGGTAGAGTATTCTTGGGTTCAATTCCCAGTACCACCAAAACACACAAACATACACATACACACATACACACAATCTACCTTGCACTATTTATTTGTGAGAGATGTACTGACACAGTACTTAGAACAGTGCCTGGTACATTGTATGTTCTTGATAAGTATTAACTATAATTATTATTTAGACTTGATCTGATAATCTCTCCTGCAGAATATTGGACAGTGGGACTGAGGAAAGATTAAATAATTATCAGAAAATACACTTTTATAACTCATCTATTCTTGTGAATATGAGGCACCAGGCCATAGGAAATCTGGTATTTAGCTGGCCCTCAATATAGTGTATTGCTACCAGTAATCAAAGTAGTGCCCATTCAGTCTCAACTTCAATATACACTAGCAAAAAGGATAGATTTAAAATTCCTTCAAGACTGGTAACAACTACTGGTGGCAAGAAAGTGTCCCTTCTGCCTAACTTTTATCTTTTCAGCTAATTCTGAGTCTGCTTCTTGTTGAGTCATTAGCAAAAATGAAAAGCAAACAGTTACCACAGATGCTGATGTTTGGATGACTTACCTTGGGAGTTTTACTTCAAGCCTGCAAACATATTCTTTGTAAAATATGTTGATATTTTTAATATAGGCTATTTCATCATTCTACCCTGTAAAGTTTTTTTTTTTAAAGCTATTTTAGGTAGAGGGCAGACAAGCCTTAAGATTTTCTTTCATTGTCTTTATTAGAGCAGTTGAAGAGTTCAGACATTCTGCCAGTATATGATACCTTAATGTTTTGTGCAAGTAAGAATACTGACCGGATTCACCTCTATACTAAGGTAAGCATCATGCAGAATCTGTAGCTTGAAACATAAAAATGGCTTCCTTTTTTAATTTTTCAATGGAGATATTTAATTTTATTTACAATAAGGTAGGCAGCTAGTTTTTTTTTTCTTAAAGATAGTTATCAAATTCCTGTGTTAAATATAAAGACAAATCAAAGGCAAAATTAGTCACTAAGAGCATTTACTTCAGGATAAGGCTGTCTCAGTTCAGATCTTTTACTGTCATCTTGGACACTTAACTGCTCTGTGCTTCAATTTCCTCATCTATAAACTTTGGAGGGGATTTGTTTCAAGGATAAAATGAGCTAAGTCCTATCAAAAACCTAGCCCATTGTCCAATCCTCATGAACTCTGAATAAGTTTATTCCTGCACAGATCATTTGAAGCAGCCAAAGCAACTACTTCTTTACAGAAGCCTAACTCACTTCTCCATGCAAAATAAAGGTGGAAACTTTTGTATATGATTGTTCAGATTCCTGCCATAGCCTATATTAGTGGCACTCAAACGTTTTGGTTTCTGACTCCTTTGTACTCCTTAAGTTTGTTGAGGGACTCCAAAGAGCTTTTGTTTGCATTGATATTTACTGTATTCAAAATAAAAATGAAAATCAAATTCCTTGCATGTATGATTTTGTCAAAATGAACCCAACAACTAGGTGTAATTATAATGCTCTAATTAGAAAAGAAAGGGGAGGCAGCCTTAGCTCTAACACTGTAGTAGATCCCAAAGGTGAAGCAGCTGGAGGCTGGCAGGTAACTGCATTCTGGAAGTTGAATGGAGATTCTTTTTTTTATTTATTTTGGTACTTGGCATTGAACCCATGGTGCTTTACTACTGAACTATATCCCCAGTCCTTTTTATTTCTCATTTTGCGATAGGGTCTTCCTAATTGCCTCCAAAAGAAAAATTGAAATGAAGATGCTTAAAAATATTCACTTATTAATCCATTTAAAAGTAATGACAGTAAACCCAGAAAAACTTAAAGTTTGGTTAGCACCAACGTAAGTTATCATTTAAAAAGCTTTCTTTCAACAGAATGGACCATGGCTTTAAAAAGTTATGAGTATTATTACTTTTTAAAATATTTTTATATATTTATATAAGTAACATGTTTTATGAAAAATAATTTATATTTTCCAAAACAGAAAAATATTGAGAAAAGAGGTACTTTTTTCATTGTTGGCAGTTCTCTCTAAAGTCTCAATAAAAAATAATGGTATTTGTTTTGTTGTACTATATCTTGGTAGCTGCTGGGAAACTTCACCATCTGATAAAGATATAATGAGAGTTTAAAAGGCAAATAATATCCTATTTTTATTACAACTACACTTGTGTCTTTGTGGACCCCTGAGAGGGTCTTGGAGACCACATGGGAATTTTTGTCTATATTTGAGGAAAAATTCACAGAGTTTTTAAATACTTTTATTAGTTCTACAATTTTAAATTTCTAATCCTTGTAAATTAAAATAATATTCATGGGCTGGGGCTGGGGCTCAGCAGTAGCACACTTGCCTGGCATGTATGAGGCACTGGGTTCAATTCTCAGCACCACATATAAATAAATGAAATAAAGATCTATTGACAACTAAAAAAAAAGTAAATTTTTTATAACTTCTACACCATATTGCCTATGAAGAAGAATACAGAATGAATTATAAACTTCTCTAATATAGTATTTTATATTGAGTCATACATGGCCTCCAATAGCATATTACAAACATCTTTATTCCAATAAATAAATAAATTAAATAAAGGTCTATCAACAATTTAAAAATATTTTAAAAAGTAATACTACTCGTAAATTTTTTAAGCCATGGTCCATTCTGTTGAAAAAAAAGCTTTTTAAATGATAACTTATGTTGGTGTTTAACCAAACTTTCAGTTACAGTTTTTCTACTAAACCAAATACAGATAGATAGTCAGATAGATAGATAGGCAGAGACACCAAGAACCAACCTAGGTAGTAGTCAGTGTTCCTCATGTAAGCATGGACCCAGGCCCACCCTGTGGATCGTCTAGAAGTGGTGAGCTTGGCAGGGGAGTATCAAGGACTCCTCTGTTCCTTTTCAGACATATTTAAGTTTCTAAGCTACCCTCATCCCTTGTGATCAGGAGCTCTAAGCTATGCCTCTCAGAACATCATGTGAGAGGAACAGATGTGATTCCCAGAAGATCTTGAAGATAGAGAAGCCAACAGGCAGCCAACCAGTCAGAGCACACCAGGAATTTAGAAGCCCTTAAATTCTTTAAACATTTTATTCTATTACAGTGAAAGCTCAGCTTCCTGGACAATCTGATCACTGGTTTTTTCTCTTTGGAGTGGAGACAGGGAGAGTAATTAAAATTCCTAGTAGAGGCTAGACTGTGCCTACTATCAACCAAACTGCAGTGATGGTTTCACTCTGCCATCCAGCTTGTGTAGCTTGGCCTACTTCACCTTCTTGGCATTTCTGTCAGTAATCTCAAATATATTTTTGTGACTCTTTTAGGTACTTACATGTCCTTAAAATGTATCATTAGGGCTGGGGCTGTAGCTTAGTGGTAGGGCACTTGCCTTGCATATGTGAGGCACTGGGTTTGATCCTCAGCATCATATAAAAATAAATAAAGATATTTTTAAAGTTATTAAATTGCTATAATTTTCTAAACATGAGACACTGTGCAAATAAAATGCTAACACATCTTTTCACAGCTACAGTTGTTTGATATGAAACCTTTCCTTTTTACCTTAGAAAAAATAAAGTAACATCTACCAGTAGAAATTTGACTTAAAACCCTAGTTCCGTACCTAAGAGTATCCCCTTAAAGACAGATTGGTAACAGATATTTAGCATTCTGTGCCAATTGTGTTCATTTCATTTATAATCCCAAATCTAGGATTTAGAATTATATACTACATATCTGAATTTAGACTTATATATTAAAATTACCTGTCTAGATTTACAAATTGCAATTATGTATCTAAATTTTTAAGAAATAAGTATTTTGTTTTTTCCCAAAGTGATTGTGGGAGCTATAACATTTCTTTTTGATTAAGAGACTTAGAATATGACCTCAATGTTATTGATATAATAGATTTTTGTATAAGACACTCTTCTTCCCCTTTAAAAAAGAAATAACTTCTATTTATGTTCAATTGACTATACCCTGTACATGATTACTTTTTACCCTTAAAATTTCAGCATATTGTGCAACTGATTATTGGACTCTGAATTCAGGTCCACTTATTCTCTGGGTAGTGCCATTGACTCAGTCCTCATGGACCAACATTGCAACATTGCTTTAGGGAAACAAATGTTTTAATAATTTCTCTAGAATTTCTCTGTCTACTTTCTCATTCCTGTAACAATAGATAGATATATCAACCCATCTGGGGAAGGCTTTTTAGATTATTTCTTAGTACCCTTCTTTAATATGAGACATATTTTCCAATGATTGTAAATAAGTTTATTTGTGAATTAAAAAGTGTTGCACTACTGTTGACTTCAAGGAAGTGATATTGTTCTGAATCAACTGACAATGTACAAATTGCATTGTTTTGATATATATTTCCAAGATTAGGCAAAAGAGAAGAGTAAGACAGGGCAGTAAGCACAGCATCCCTAGCTGAAGGCAGCAGGCCTGAGCTAGGTGTGGGCAGTGTGGACACACACTCTCACCTTTCCATCCTTCTAAGGAGCCATGTGGAGTAGATTCTTGAATGTGCCACCAAGTAATCTTTTAGGAGTTTAGACATACTACATCATAATTAATTATTTTCTAGCATCTATGATAAAAATGGATTAATAATATCTTCCTAATCTATAATTAGGATGGAAAACAGATGAACTGTAATTTCATTCCTTTGGATATAAAATTAGACCTTTGGGAAGACTTACCAACAAGTTTTCAACTGAAACAGAATCGCTCACTGGTAAGAACAGTTTTAAATAAAATAGTTATATTAGTTTTAAATGCAAAATTTTTAGGAATTTTAGCAATCATTTTGAGTTTAGTAAAATAGTGCTTCATGGCCTATTGCAGAATCAAATTGCTGGTTGCATTTTTTATCAATCTAGGCAGTGTCTATTAATTGCCCTGTGCTAAGAATAAATGTGAAATCTGTTTCCTTGGCGAGCGATCACACCTAGAGCTGCTGTTTCTGTAGATAGAATCATCCTCACATCATTTAATTTCTCATTCACAGGATTAGCAACTGTGTTATTTGTATCTGTCAGAATCACATTTTATCTTTTAAAGTTCTAACAATGACAAATTTTGAGAGCAGGAATAATCACACATTGGGCAACTCTTTTTTTAATATTTTTTAGTTGTAGGTGAACATGATACTTTTGTTTTATTTATTTATTTTTTTTAATGTGGTGCTGAGGATCAAACCCAGTGCCTCACATGTGCTAGGCAAGTGCTCTACCACTGAGCCACAACCCCAGCCCCCACATGAGGCAACTCTTGATTCATTGTCAGAAGCACCAGCCTGATGCTCCAAGCCAGGTAACTGCCAGGGAGGTCTTATGCTTGTTTGTGACTGATTTTGCCTTCACTGCTAATGGTCATCATGTTGTAAGACTGACCCAGCATGTAATCTACATTTATTACTATTTTTTTAAACAGGGAAATAGTGATTTTTTTTAAACCCTTTGAATGGAAATGAAGCATTACCCACTGGTCAGCTATAACTGTTATAAAGGGAAAGGAAGCAACAAGCTATTTTCTTGATAATATATAATCCTGACTCTCAAATTCCCCCTACAAAAAAATAACTAGTTATGTATGATTGACTAATAAGTAAGAGCAATGCTGATAAAAATGTCCCAGATTTTATGACTTTTTTTTCCCCATAGCAACTCAATCATCAGATACAAAATGATTCTCGGATGCTATATGATCGCATCTTTTAGATAGAATCATTTTCTTGCCACCACTGCAAGACTACTGTCCATAAGACCAATTTTGCCTTGGCTATTGCTAAAGTATGTGCTTCTAGATTCTTCTCAGTGAGCACATCATTATTGTTGATACCTGTGTATATTAATGATATACACCAGGTGTGCTAGTCATAGATAGTTTACAATAAAGGTATAAAAACTGTATTAAACCAAGTCTTAAATTGTGGAACTCAAAAGCCTGTTTCAGGGATATAACAAGACATCAATTTTCTCGTGTTGTTAACAGCCTTATTCTGAAAGGAAGATGACCAGTAAGCTGCTAACTCTTTTAAAATTATTTCATTTTTCTGCCAGATTTTGCGGTTTGTTCGAGAATGGAGTAGTCTAACTTCCATGAAGCAAAGGATAATAAGAAAAAGTGGGCAGTTATTTTGCAGCCCCATCCTTGCTTTGGAAGAGATCACAAAGCAACAAAACAAACTAAATAGTACCAAACGGTATGAGTTCTTTTCCTTTTTTCTTTTGTATTGTATTATTTTTCATAGTTATTTCTATAAGAGGTCTGTGACATCTTATGTAATCACTAATGAAATCTTGATGAGTTAAGAAAAGTCTATACATAAAATTCAGCAACATAATTAGATATTTAATGAATTTGCTAAAATTCACTGGAAAAGATCAGGTTGGGGGCTGGGGTTGTGACTCAGTGGTAGAGTGCTTGCCTAGTATGCGTGAGGCACTGGGTTCAGCCCTCAGCACTACATAAAAATAAAATAAAGGTATTGTGTTCACTTACAACTAAAAAATATATTTAAAAAAACAACAACATCAGATTGTCCAGATCTAGCTCATCGTGGGTCCCACTCATCAATCGAGAGGCCAGAGTCACAGGTTAGTGCAACCTGTGACCTGCTAAGCCTATTAACGACAGGAAGACAATCACTCTTAGAACATCAACATGATCTTGGACCCCATCTCTTTTGCCTTGCACTCATGTGGCATGAATTGCAGGTGCCATGCATTAGGGTAGCTGGTTTTATTTGAAATACCATCACTTTCAAAGTAACGGAAGGTTAACTACCATGATTGGAATTGAAATAAAAAGGTTAGCTGTCACACATTTGTTATCATTTGCCTTTATCATTACAGGACCCTTTCTAATCCTTTGTACGTCTACTTTCCTTTCATGACATCACAATAATCTTTGTCTCACTCAAATATCTTTTGGTGTGATCTGAAATCCAAATTCTTTATATTCTTTTCTTAGCATGAAGCAAGGATTATCAGGAAAAGTAGTTAGCTGCTCTCTGCACTTTGGAAGAGATTACAGAACAATAAACCAAACAGTAGCAATAGCAGAGAAAGCCCTTCATTTCTTGCTGTCTCTATACACCTGTAACATATTCCTATCCTTACATTCCATCACTTTACAGGTGAAAAAAAAATCAATGTTATGGGGCGTGGATGCTTAAATAAAGATAGCACCATTCAGTGAAAATGTCTTCAACTGTTTCAGTACATGGCATCAGGTACATCTATATGTCATAACAAGGAATGATACTTATGATAAGTTAAGAATAAAAATAAGTATTAAAATAATGATAGAAATACAAACATCTACTTGCCGGTTTTGACCTGGAAATTCTCTGGAAGGACACCTTAGAAACTCACTAGAGGTTTCTCTAGAACAGTGGTTCTCAACTAGAGGCAATTTTGCCGTCCCCCCCACCACCACCAGGGTTGCAATGTGTGGAGACACTTTCAATTGTCATGACTACAGAGTGCAACTAGGGATTATCTTGTGGGTACAGTTCCAAGATGCTCATGAAAATCCTTCTGTAAATAGGTCTATATCCCTAAAGAATTTTCTGTCTTAGAATGCCTATAGTGCTACTGTTGAGAAATCTTTCTTTAGGACATAAAGTTAGGTAGTTTGTGAAGGTGAGAGTCACTTTATGTTTTATGCCAGAATTACAAATTCATGACTAAAAACAAAACAAGAACCTGAATGAATGAATGAGGTCAGGTTTAAAACTAGAAAAGGATGAGGTTGGGGCTGAGATGATGGCAAATTGGAAAGTGCATAACTCATCTAAAATCACTTAAGTTCAGATTTAAAAATAAAATACTTTCTAAGCCAAATAAAACCTTCTGAATGATTGGGTTTATCCATAAGTTGTCAGTTTTGGCTTCGTATCTAAACTCTTCTGTACTAGTTGAATTTTCCCATACTTTATATAACAAATACAAATGAAATGTATGTGTATGCATTGTACATATATGTACATACATGCCAACCTACAAAAGTATATACACACGCACACTTACTGTCAAAAAACATTCCTATTTTATTTTTTTCAATATTTCTTCCAATCCTCTCCACTTTTCTCATTTTTGTAATTTATCTTCTCTTTCTTACATGATTGTAATTCCCTTCATAACTGAATTTACAGCCCACTCCAACCATTTTTAAATGTGCTATATTGTTTCTTTATCAGATGACCACTTAAAATACTAGCTGAGAGAGATGACTGATCATATGTAAAAGGAAATATGAACTCATAAAATCAATATAAACCAAGCTCAGACCCACCACATTTTATAAATGGCATTTATGAAATTAAATATAGATGATATGTTTAAGCTGTATCTTGTAGTAGCAAGCATCAGCTGAAATCATTAGATTTGTATCTGTAAGAGCTCACTCTGGCAGCAGTTAGGAGAGTAGATTAAAAAGGGCAAGACTTGAAGTTAGAAGACAAGAAACATTTATTTTCTATTACTACCATAACAAATTACCACAAATTCAGCATCTTAAAACAACACAAACTTGAGGCTATGGTTATGGCTCAGTGGTAGAATGCTTACCTAGCATGTGTAAGGCATTGGGTTCAATCCTCAGCACCACATAAAAATAAATAAATAAAATAAAGATATTGTGTCCATCTACAAACAAAAAAAAATTTAAACACATATTTTTTATCTCACAGTTCTAAAATAAGTCAGAAGTCCAAGTTGACTCTTGCTGATTTTTCTGCTCTGAATTTTAGGCTAAAATCAAGGTATTGACCACATGGACTTTAATTATTAGGCTTGGATAAGAACCCATTTCCCAGCTTATTCAGATTGTTGGTAGAACTCAGTTCCCTGTATTTGTAGGACTGAGTTCCAGTTCTATCCAGGCTGTCAGCTGGTTGTCACCATCAGCTCATAGAAGACTCTCTCTGGTCCTAGCACATGAGCCTCTGCATATCAGGGCCATCAACAGAGTGTCACATTGTTCTCTGCTTGGAATCTGTCCTCATCTTCTGCTTTTAAGACTTCCAGTGATTATATTGAGTCCACCTAGTAATCTCCCAGTCTTAAAAATCAGCAGATTAGAAACCTTAATTATATCTGCCAAATCCCATTACCTAGATGAATTTATTGAATAGCCTGAGAATAGAAATCTTATAGGACTGACAGCAGAATACATCAGACACTAGAAAAGCAATATGTCAATCAATGGAAGGGTAACTGATGTGATACAGCAATCTGTATACGGGGTAAAGTTGGGAGTTCATAACCCACTTGAATCAAACTGTGAAAGATGATGTATTAAGAACTGTGTAATGTTTTGAACGACCAACAATAAAAAAAAATTTCCTAAATATAAAATCATAAAAATTCTCTTACAAGCCAGGCATAGGCAGCACACATATTTGTAATTCTAACAACTGGGTAGGCTGAGACAGGAGGATTGAAAATTTGAGGCCAGCCTGGACAACTTAATAAGACCCTATCTCAAAATTTAATAATGCAAAGTTCTGAGGATGTAGCTAGTAATGACAACAACAAAATTTTATCTGCCACCCCAAATTAAAAGACTCCTGATGAGGCTCTCTATTAAGGCATTAACAATGGGAATGGAGGAAAAAGAATGAAGAGAGCTATTAAGGATATGTATCTAGAGCCCTTGGTGTCTGAATAAAGAAATGCAAAGAGGGAGGCCTCAAGGGAAACCAACTTAGCAGAGCCACAAAATGCTACCCCCACAATGAAATGTATACACCTGCAGAGGGGAGGTACAATCAGGAGCACTCTGATTCTTATAGCAGAACCTCAGTAAGTCTCAGTATTTTGGAATAATCATATATCTCAAAAAGCAGGTATGAAAGATAGGGCTGAACAACAGAAAGTCTGTATGAGGAGCAACTAGACCCTGGATCTCTTATCTCTCTCATTACTTTCTAGAGAAACCAAACTAGAGAGCCTCCAGACTTGGAGATAAGGAGAGAAGCATTGTATTGAAAAATGAAACCATACTATGTATATAACCAGAGATATGAAAAATTATGCTCTATATGTGTAATAAGAATTGTAATGTATTCCGCTGTCATTTATAAATAAATAAATAGAAAAATGAAACCCCTTAGACCCATTTCTTCACTTAGCTTCAAGAATACCAGCAACCACATTTTACTTCCTAGGCAGCAAGGAGGAGGATTCATCTCTTTTAAAATATTAAGTGGCTTTAAAAAAAAAAAATAGAGGTAGGTACTGAGTTTGAAAATTCCCCCAAAAGCTATGGTTAGGTCTCCAAGATTATTCTTCTATGATTCCACTAATTTGCAGGCCTCAACCAAGCTGAGGTAGCTTCTGGATGACTCACTCTTAAATGTGAATGGAAGCCAAAGCCACCAGCCATTGTTGTTCCAGAGATAGGTATGATTTAGTAGGAGAGCAGTTATTATTAGAATGCCAACTATTTATCCTCTACCTATAAGTGATCTGTAATACAGGTCAGCAACCCAGAACCCAGGACTCTATCCATTAGTGTGGACCACTTTCCAGTGCACAATTTTCTTGTAAAAGATTGCCATATTCCACTCCCATCCTTATTCAGGAATTAATTTAATTGATGACATTCTTTCTTCCCTATTTGCAAAAAATGACAAGTTGGAATATTTACATGGACTTCCTAGCAAACATTTATGGAAAATTAAATATTGGCAACTTGCAACTGGGATTGAAACATTGTCGGCTTCCTTCTTTTGGGTCTATTGATCTGTTTCTTATGGTTTCCAAAAACTTACGCTTAAAGCTTAAACATTTTATACAAAAGAAAGAGGTTATTTCTGGTTCCTAAATCTCTGGCCAGATTTCTCAGCATCTTATAAAGTTACTGAATTAGGTTTCTAATCTTTTAAACATTGAATAATACTTGAGGCAAGGCTTAATATCCTATTGCCCCTCAAAGCTAGGAAGGTTTTGAGTACATTTAAAATCCACAGAAAAACTTTAGCAAAGAACTCTTGTCAAGGGAATAAAAGAGTTGAGAAAAAAAATGAGGGGATGTTGAAGAAATATAGGAACTAAAATGTCAAGTTAAAGAGCTCAAATAATTCACTGTGATTTAACTTCTTATGCTTTAAGAAACACACACAAGTGGAAATGCAAACATGTGGAAAGATACCTGTACTCTTATAAAAGATAAACACATTTAAAGTCATAAGGAGATACCTATTACTATTAGCAGAGATTTTTTAAGTGACATGGTTGCACTAGTGAAAGTGTGAGAAAACTTCCTTTTGTTACTGATGGAGATGAGCACTGGTACAGCACTTTTAACCCAGGAATTCTATTGTGGAGACTTATTTTACATATACTTTGTGTGTATAAAACATACACACACATACATATACACACATTGTTGTGATAACAAAAACTGAAAATTACTAAGAGCCCATTAGATATAATGGTTTATCCAAATAATTGGCCAACATGGAACCATTAAAAAGAATAGAGCAGGGCTAGGGCTGCAGCTCAGTGATGGAGCCCTTGCCTCACATGTATGAAACACTGGGTTCCATCCTCAGCACCACATAAAAATAAATAAAGGTATTGTGTCCACCTACAACTAAAAAAAATAAAAAAGAATAGAGCAACTCTGTATGTACTGATACATAAAGATCTCTGAGGTGTAGATTGAGGCAGAAAGAGCAAAGTGAAGATTAGTATCTACAGTATACTATCATTGATTTCTAAAACTAAAAAGTGTAGAAAAGGGTACACTTGTACATTGCTGGTGGGACTGCAAATTGGTGCGGCCAATTTGGAAAGCAGTATGGAGATTCCTGGGAAAGCTGGAAATGAAACCACCATTTGACCCAGCTATTGCCCTTCTCAGATTATTCCCTGAAGACCTTAAAAGAGCATACTACAGGAATACTGCCACATGGATGTTCATAGCAGCACAATTCACAATAGCTAGACTGTGGAACCAACCCAGATGCCCTTCAATAGATGAATGGATAAAAAAAAATGTGGCATTTATACACTGTGGAGTATTACACATCACTAAAAATGACAAAATCATGGAATTTGCAGGGAAATGGATGGCACTAGAGCAGATTATGCTTAGTGAAGCTAGCCAATCCCTAAAAAACAAATACCAAATGTCTTCTTTGATATAATGAGAGCAACTATGAACAGAGCAGGGAGGAAGAGCAGGAAGAAAAGATTAACATTAAATAGAGACATGAGATGGGAGGGAAAGGGAGAGAAAAGGGAAATTGCATGGATATGAAGGGAGACCCTCATTGCTATACAAAATTACATATAAATAAACAAGGAGAAAAATGAATTACAGTAGATGGGGTAGAGAGAAGATGTGAGGGAAGGGGAGGGGGGATAGTAGGGGATAGGAAAGGTAGCAGAATACAACAGTTACTAATAGGGCATTATGTAAAATTGTGGATGTGTAACCGACGTGATTCTGCAATCTGCATTTGGGGTAAAAATTGGGAGTTCATAACCCACTTCAATCTAATGTATGAAATATGATATGTCAAGAGCTTTGTAATGTTGTGAACAACCAATAAAAAAAAATAAAAAGTGTAATGGGGAGGGAGTGCTCGTAGACATAAATTTCAGAAGTGGGGAACTGGATGAAAATGTTCTACAATCAGTGATGATGGTGTCACAACCTTGTGAATATATTAAAATGCAATAAATTGTAAGCTTTAAATTGAGCAAATTTTATAGTATACGATTATAGGTCAATATAAATGCAAAAATAAATAAAAGGTACACACATATACACAGAAAAAAATTAACTGTTTCCAAAATACTTACCAAAAACTGACAACAGGGTGAATTCTGGGATAGAAATGAAAGGAAAACTCACTGTTTACCATGTAAACTGCTGTATGCCTTTTAAGTTTGAAACTATGCCCATGTATCACCTAATCAAAAATAAATAAAATAGTTTATAGGAAAAGGGAAATCTGTTTATCATTAAATCATCCTTAAAAAATAAAGACAGATTTCTAAAATATTACCTATAACTGCACAATTTCATTGTGATTTAACTTTAATTTTATTGTTAAACTGCCAAATGAAGATCTACTCAAATATAAAGAAATTCATATTTAATTTAATTTTTTAGAAATCTACAAAAAATAGGTGCAAACTACAGAGAAACTGGGCCAAGCTAATTAGGAGGAATTAATTGGGTAATTGTATTTCACCTACTTAAATTCCCCCATGACCTTTAATTAGAATTACTTTCCTCTTTACTTTCAGTCCCTAAACCATTGTGTCCTACTGAGTTCTGAATCCCACATTACTGGCTTTGTTTCAGTAAAGTTTCCATAAACCTTTTATGAGCTAACACTAATGGGAATAACCTTGAGATTGTAGGAAATGTGGTAAAACTTGGTTAACTTAAAAAAAAAAAAAACACGGGGCTAGGAATGTAGCTCAGTTGGTAGAGTGCTTGCCTCGAATGCACTGGGTTTAATCCCCAGCACCACACACACACACAAAAAAAAAAAAAAAATTACTTTACCCAAAACACTGATAAAGTAAGATTTGGGGAAGCCTTGAAGAGAAGGTCAAGAAGGAGGTAAAAAAAATGCACTTGGAAAGTTTCTGCACAGCCTGGCAAGCAGTTTTCTTTAGGCTGTCAGATATGCATGTATTTGGTCATTTCTTATCCTCACACCCACTTCTTTTTTTTTTTTTTTTTTAGAGAGAGAGAGATGAGAGAGAGAGAAAAAATTTTAATATATTTTTTTAGTTTTCGGCGGACACAACATCTTTGTTTGTATGTGGTACTGAGGACCGAACCCGGGCCACACACATGCCAGGCAAGCGAACTACCGCTTGAACCACATCCCCAGCCCATAAATTTTGAAAATTGATCCAAAAGGTAGTGAATGACTCTTGAATTTCTTAGAAAAATGATTCTTGAGAAAATGAATCTGGAAGAGAGATGTTTTTCCCACATAATGGTCAATGTAAAGGGTGAACACTACATTTCCTAATTCTAGTATTAACACAAAAATAGAATTATATCTTGCTTTTGCTCCTACTGCTTTTGTAAGGGGCATCATGAACATGAAATAGAGAAACCTTTATGTGAGGGATGGGAAATCTACTTAACATGTAATTGTTCTAGATATATAACCAAAGAAGATGTTGCTATAGCCTCGATGGACAAGATGAAGAATGATGGGGGCCATGTCCGTCTGATCACAAAGAAGTCTGGGCCGTGTGTCTATTCCACAAAGTAAGGACATACGTACTAAGAATAGTACCTTAAATTTATACATTAATTTTTGTAATAATACCTCACCTTTGTGTGGTCACTTTAGAGGTTACAAAGAGCTTTCACATTTTAGTAGCTCTTTAGTCTTTCTAACAACACTGTGAAGCAATGAATTCATTATCTTAGGATTAGAGACAAGGAAGAACTCTGACACCAACTGGCCTAAGTGGCCTGTCTCAGACCTGGATGGGAGATGCCAGGAGACATGAGGTCAAAACTGGATTCTGCCCCTCAATCTTGATGTCTTTCAACCTTAAAAAGCTTATCTTTTTAACCTTCCAATGACCAACCATGAAAAATAAGCAAAGCAATTATTGTTACTTCACAGTGTAGGACTCTGCAACACAATCGAGTACTGTGCCTTTCCTTTGTTTCTAATAAATTGAGATATGTCCCATTATGTTTCATTTCTAATTTTAATTTGATCAACTCTAAGCTTTCCCATAGGAGACATGATGTTTAGCAAGCCTTTTGTTCTAATTCCTCTCAGCACTATCAGCTACATCACTCCATCACTTTATGGTTTTAAAAATTCACTACATCTTGTAAGCCAGCAGATACTAGACAAGTGTTAGTATGACCTCTTTGGCCTAATGAGGTATGTGACCCAACATAGTTAGATATCAGGGTAGCCACTAAACTTTAGTTGGTGTTTCTCATTAGCCTGTTCTTTCCCAGCCTAAAGAAGCATTTCTTAACTTCTCATTTTCCAACTTCTCCAGTTGTTTCAAAGTCCAGTTGTTTAACATAGAAGCATCTAAATTCTCAAGAGAGGCAGCATATATCAAATCAATTTTTGTAATACACCACTCCTCTTTGCTTGGCATGGCATATAGAGAGCTGACTACAGCTATTTCATCTCCACACTGAATCACAAAATGTGTGGACCCTGTATTACTACTTATCAATGTAAAAACTAAAAGCCTTTATTTGAAGCAATAACTTTGGTATATACATTTGTTGGTTACCTATTCAATGTTTTGTCCAATTATAGAAACCTTCTTGAAGATGGATCCTGTGTCCCACTTCCAAATCCCTCCACAGCACCAGCTGATCTCAGTATAGCCAAAGGCTATTTGCAAGCTGTGGATAATGAAGGAAATCCTCTTTGCCTTCACTGTCAGCATCCCACTTTCCAAACTAAGCAAGAGTGTAAAGCAAATGCTTGGGATTCACGGTTTTGCTCCCTGAAATGTCAGGAAGAATTTTGGATTCGATCTGATAACAGTTATATGCGAGCCAAAGTATTTGAAATTGAACATGGTGTGTGTCAGCTATGTAATGTGAATGCACAAGAACTCTTTTTATGTCTGAGAGATGCACCTTTAAGCCACAGGAAGAATCTTCTGGATGCTACCTGGACCTCAAAGCTCCCATTGGAACAGGTAAATTGTAATCAATTAACAGAAAGTATCTTTGTACTGAGTGATGACTATTGACTCGTTAACTTTATTTTTTTTAACTTTTTAACATGGGCATTTTCAAGTATATATACAAAAGTAGAAAGAATAATGAACTTATGTTCCCATCATCTAGCTTTAATGGTTTTATCCACATTTGCCATTCCTTTCTTACCTTACTACTACTACTTTTTTTTTTTCTGAAATATTCTAAGGCAAATTCCAGACAACAGTTTGTTATTTTCATTGTGTATCTCACAGGTACAGACTTTCCTCTTTCCTTTCCTCCCTTCCTTCCTTTCTCTTCTTTCCCCCTTTCTCTTTTTTCCTTCCCCCCTCTCTTTTTTCTTTCCCCTCTCTTTTTCTCTCTCCCTCCCACTCTTCTTTTTTTAAATACAATCCCAACATGAGTTACAACACCTGACACAATTACAATTCCTTAACTATAGAGAGTTTATGTTTGGTTTCCTAGATTGCCTGAGAAATGTCTTTCTATAGTTGCTTTATTCACATTAGGATCAAAATGTGGCCCATCTATTGTTTTGTTTTTGGTTTTTTGTTGTTGTTGTTGTTATGTCTTTTATGCTCCATTTAATCTATGAGAGCATCTCATCCTTTTTCCTATATTGAAGAAACTTGATCATTCGCTGAGCATGGTGACACATGCCTATAATCCCAGTGACCCAAGAGAATAAGGCAGGAGGATTGCCACAATGAAAGCCAGCCTCAGCAATTTAGCAAGGCCCTGTCTCAAAATGAAAAATAAAAAGATCCTGGAATATAACTCAGTGGTAGAGCACCCCTGGATTCAACCCCCAGTATTGCAAAACAAAAACAAAAAAGAAACTGGATCATTTGCCTGTAAGATTTCCTACATTCTGGATTTGTCTTCCTCTGTTCTCATGGAGGTGTTTCATATGCTCTTATATCCCCTTAATTTCCTGAATGTTGTTTATAAGATCTAGAGACTTGATTAGATTCTAATTCAGTTACTTTTGGGAAAAGATCTTAACAGGTGATTCATTGCATCCAGAGGCACCTAAGGTCTAGGAGTTCCACATTTTCATAATGTTAATATTGAATGACAAGAGGCAAGTGGATAACACAAAACGACAATGAGGAGGCCATATTATATATGCATTTACATATGTAACATACATTTAGGTATATTCATTCCATTGTGAAATGTACTTTTAAGCCAAGCGCAGTGGCACACACCTGTAATCCCAGCTACTCAAAAGACTGAGACACAATTATTGCAACTTTGAGGCCAGCCTCAGCAACAGCAAAGCCATCAGCCACTAAGTGAAAGCCTGTCTCAAAATGTCTCAAAATAAAAAGGGCTGGGAATGTGGTTCATTTGTAAAGCGTCCCTGGGTTAAATCCCTAGTACCAAAGAAATAAAGTATTTTTGATAAAGCAGTTATGACAAAATATTGTTTGTAGCACACTATCATCAATATTCATTTTGATTTTCAAAACTCAGTATGATTTCTGATCTTGTTGCTTGACAATTCTAAATTTCAGACTAAAGTAAAATGTGTAATTTTATAGTGTGCTTAATTTAAAAGGAATACTCCTGAGTCACTGTTTGCCTACTAAAGTTTTGGATGAATTCCTGACAGCTAGACAAATTATTTATTTTTATTTTATTTACCTAATATTACCAAATCATAATAGAACTAATAATCATTTCTGTAAAGATAAATTAGTGTCTTTGAGAGCTAGAGAAATACAGTATTTCCCTAATGACATCCAGAGTTCTTGAAAGATCCTTTGGTCTAACCAATGAGGGACATATTGTACCCATTCCAGGGATATCAGCCAGCTCTAGTTACTGTCCACTGTGTCAGTGTGAAGCTTCCAGAAGATATCCAGTGAAATCGCTAAGGCCATTTGAAAGCAACCTGTCTAGAAAGGCAGAACTAATATGGTAGACATCTTAACAAAAGTGCTGTAAAGATCAGGAGCACAGGTGCTCAGATTGGGGGAGACCAGTTAGAAAGGGAGTGATTTTTTTCAAAAGGTGAATTTTGGATATTGAAGAGTAACCCCAAGTGATTTGCCAGTTGCTAGGAAAAAAATTAAGAGGCCCCTTTTGAATTATCAAGTCTGTCAGAGTAAAAGCTACTCAGAAAGAATTGGTTATAAAAGGCAAAACCAAAGGAGATTTTTTTTTCCCAAAGAATATGACATTTGCTTCATGTGCAAGACTGCCATTTGTGGTTGCTTCTAAGAATACCAGTGAAAACAAAAATCATTATGTATCTTCTAACAGAAGTTAGGAAGCTCTGTACAGAAGAGAAAGTAAAGCAAGTAAAACAAAGGTCATCTGGACAAAGTTTAGTGTTCCAAATGCTGCCTCTTGGGGTTCCTCACAGGTCAGCACTATAGATCAGGTCATTGTGCCATTGGAGGATCTGACTTGCTTTCTTCAGAGTGCTTTAGAAATAATCTTGTGTTCCCATCACCAGCAGTCATGAAGTTAATTATACTTTCTACCTTGTCCAAGACCAAGAAAATTAAAACAATTGTCGTACTTGTCATGGTGATGTTTAAAAACTGCACTGCCATAGTGTAAGTTGGTTTTACTAACTCAAGTACAATGTTAAACACATCCCATTTTTTAATGTAGGTCATCACTGGTTAAATATTAAGTGTTCATATATGGACTGGCCTAGAGAGTGACTGTTTTAAGGGGACATCTTTGTTTATTTCAAATATGCAAGTTTAGAGGTTCTAAAAATTTAATTCCAGTCCATGGAAGTTCTCTGGTGAATAATATAAAAGGGTGAAAGCTGTTAATATGAAACTGCCATTGATATAGTAACTAATGCATTTAGGTGAACTATTAAAGATTATTTGAGTCAGTAATATTAAGGAGTTTTTAATTTCCAGTCTGTTCTCACTTTTGGTGTAGTGAATATATAAACTAAAAGGTACGGAAAAGACAAATCTGTCAGGAGTCTTGGTGTTTTATACTTGCTTATAAGTTTTCAAAATGGATTAGATAAGAGGAAAAAACTTTTTCAGAAACACATTTTATTGCTTTCAAATTGTTAACCAAGAGAGTTTTTGTCAACTCACAATAAAAGCTATAAAAAACTACACTAATGTATTTTTCCCCATGATTCCGCTATATAAACATGATTACACAATGCAAAAACCAACAGATCCTACAGTGTATGTTCAAAATTGCTGATCTTGTGTTTTATTGCAGCTAAATGAAATGATAAGAAACCCGAAGGAAGGACATTTCTGGCAGGTGGATCATATCAAGCCAGTGTACAAGGGAGGGGGACAGTGCACCCTAAACAACCTGCAGACTCTCTGCACAGTCTGTCACAAAGAGGTCAGTGGAGCTCACAAGCAACTTTGACTCTATCCTAGGAAATCCAAAAGAAAATATGCAAACAGGTGTAGGTGATTATGTGGATAAGTCTATACCCCTGCTCTAGGATCCAAGATGCATTTTTTTCCTTTTATCACTGGACACTTGCCCTTCTTCTTGAGGCCTATGTAAGTTTTCAGTCACAGATGCAACAGAAGCAGCTTCCCTCTTAATTCATTTTAGGACCAAGACATGTCACCACTATCTAGAAAAACATGAATACAACTTATTTATTTACAGTCTTGAAGAGAACCAGAACCCAAAACTGAAAGTTTTGTGAATTAGGGCAGTGATGCTTGTTTGCATATGACTAAGAATGTCCTAAAATATTGAAGAAAATTCATAAATTATCTCTAGGACTAACTCAGCTCAACATGAAAGATATTATACTGCTAGTTTAAGTATGAAACCCATTATACTAGGTATATCTTTGTACAACCTGTTGCTTAAAATGGCGGTGTAGGGGATGGTGTATTGTTATCTACCAGGATGAATTTTTAACACACAGTCCCACAAAATAACCAATTATATTTATGGTTTTTAGAACCATTTGGATCTTTTGCCAATGTTCATAAATGAACTCTTTTTAATCCTTCTTTTAATATTTTAGATTCCATAATTTCTTCATAAGTATGATTTTTATATAAATGGGATCATATCACACAGGCAGGTTTTGTTTTTGTTTTTAGTTTTAACCTTCTTTTCTTTTCATCCTTTCTATCTGGGTACATGAACTTCAATTGGGAAAAAAATGTCATCTGATTTCTCAGCTTTACAAATAGCAAATTCAAAACCTGTAAGAGAATTAAGAAATAGCCAAAGAAAATATAACCTGTTCTGTAATTATTTTTTCAGAGTCTCATAAATATTTTATTTGTGGGATTAGTAGAAGAATTGAGTTGTGGTCTGGCTTATTTTATTTTCTACATTGGGTTATCTGTTGAGTTGGGAATGGCTTCTGGGACCTGAGAATAGGAAGTGGGAAGGCCCACTCCTTATCAGATCCTGGTAAAGCTAAGACTCAGGGCATTAGTCAGAGCTGCTGAGGTACTCTGCTTTGTGGTTTGGAACAATCCCTAATGGCTAAGCACTGGGTATAGGGGCAATGTAGATTTCATCTAGACTAAAAATACAGTTTTTGAGCTTCTGTAGCCAATGCTTTTTTGCTAATATGTGCACTTACATTTGTTACCTTTTAGAAAACTGCTAAACAAGCCAAGGAAAGAAGCCAGATGAGAAGACAATCTCTAGCATCAAAACATGGATCAGATATAACACGATTTTTGGTAAAGAAGTAAAGTAGGAAAAAATATATGAATGGATGACAAATTGTCTACATGTGGAAGAATTTTTTTTAATATTTACTTTTTAGTTTTTTTAGGTGGACGCAATTATCTTTATTTTTATGTGGTGCTGAGGATCGAACCCAGTGCCTCATGCATGCCAGGCAAGCATGCTACCACTTGAGCCACATCCCCAACTCCACATGTGGAAGAATTTAATTTAAAAAAATTTATGTCTGTCTGATATTTTCAGAGTGAAAATTTTAGAACATAAATCAAGAATTTAAATTCTGGTTTTATGCTAAAATACTTTTAGTGTTAAATACTTTTTGAAAGTACTTAACCAGAAACTTAAATATAATGCTAAATATTTCCGTGGTATTATATGACTTTATTTCTCAATTATGTTTCACCAAGATTTTGCTAGCTTTTGTTTCTCCTGCAATATGCCTTAATCACTGTATTTAACATAGATAAGTGTTTTAAAAATATACTTTTAATTACCTGAAAAATGCTCTTCTTGACTACTATTGGTTCTGGACTATCATAGGTGTAAATGGAATACTGCAAAACAATAAAAGACAATTTCAGAGGTAAACCATCATAATTTAGGAATTCTGAGCCAAGCATGACCAATCTACTTAGTATGCAAAAGAGACTTATTCATTAAATGCCTCCAAAATAGGGCTAAGGAATATATTTTGGCTTTACCATTTTTGCTTTATCTCTCAGACAGTCATCTTTATTAAAAACATAACTTTTAAAAATAAGCTAATCATATTTAATAATGTTTGTGGATTATTTGGGTATTCTGGGTAACTGTTAAAACTAATAAACAACTGAAAACATAAATGCCCCTTAAGCCTAATTTTTTAAGGTTTTTTTGTTGTTGTTGCTTTTATTTTTAGCATGTATAACTAAACTTATTGTCAAATACCCTTTCGTTCTTGATTTTCATTTTTGGTTTTTTAAATCTGTATTGTTAAAAGTATATTTCTGGTACATCTTTTAAAAAGAATAATTATAAAACACTTTCTATTAAAGCATAATTGGATGATTATATGTATTTAAAAATATAATGATAATATTAAAATGTAATTGACATTAGAAGCAGTGATAATGAAACAAACACAGGGCCTAATCCCACTATATATCATAATTGTAAGAGGAACAAGTTAGAACCACACAAACTACAGGTTCAAGGAAGCATTACATTCCCCAAAAGCACCTGTTTGTAAATACCACTTGGATATAAACATCATTATTTTAGCATTTACCAATTTTAATTAGTAGATGTCCTTTTAAAACTTGTTTTTAGAAAAAATATACAATCATGAATTTACCTTTCTGAATTGTCATTTAAGATTATGGCTGTTTCATTGCATGAGATCAAATAGTATTGTTCCTTTTATAAACTAGGTTGGGCTTTCTTTGGTCTCTTTTCTGCTTTGCTGGTCAGGCTCTTTACAGTTTTCTGCCTCATTTCCAGGTAACCTAGGATTCAGTTGACAGTCTAGCACAGCAGGCTGCCTTTTCTCCAGCATGGGGTGTTTGCAAGTGCGAGTTTGGTCTAAGTAGGTCAGATTTGCGTGGTGCATGCTCTTTAGATCAAACCAAGGTGGTGATTCTAAGGAGAAAGTTCTCAGATGTAAGATCTGTATGATGGTTTGAGGTGAAATGATCCACGAAGATGGTTTCTGTGCCACATTTCAAAATTCAGATCAATTAAAAACACTGTAAGGAACAATGAGCATTTGCTACACAGCACATTGACTGCCTCACCCCATCTCTTCCTGACACATCTCAGAGCTGCCCTGCCTTCCCTGATTTTATCTGCTTTACTCATGGGGCACATTGAGATGAAGACTTTGGGACTGAAAATAAAGGCAGAAATTTATCTAATAACCAAAACCTAAGGCACATCTTAGGGAGGCTGTTCTTTCATCCTCACAGTCTGAAAGAGAAGCTGCCCTCTATGGATTCCAAATAGGAGGTTCTGACAATAGATACAGAAAGTGTCAGGGCTAGCAGCAGACCTTGCTTGCAGAAAGAAGTACAAGGGCCCCCTGGGGAAGAAGACAACTGTGACCACACATGAGAGGGAAATGAAATGAAACTCTGACGGGGGTTATGGGAGTATAAAGAAGGATGGACCCAGCTCCAAAAGCACTCAGAGAAAAGAAAGCAAAGGCTCTGGACCCTGGGAATAGAACCGGGACATCATAGCTGAGAAATGAACCAGTTTACAATATAGAACCATGTGAGACTATGCCTAGGCTGCACCTTTGCTTGGCTCAGAAGCACAGCCAATGTGGGGATGCTGTGGGCTTTGTGGGGGCTTCTTGAGCAAGGTGAGCACATTCACCCTAATCATGCACCCCAGTATCATCTGCCTTCCTGTTCCTGTCACAGAGGCACATAAATTCCAGATAATCTCTGATGACTAATAAAGTTGCTTTGAATAGCGCCCCAGAGACCAGAAGGAATTCATAAGAAATTTTCAAAGAAGCCCACTTTCAGAGTTAATCACAGCTTAACATATACATTTCTTGTGGAGATCTTCCTGTAACAAATGAATATCCTTCTGCATTTTCTTAGTTATGTATGTGAAAAGGATTTTCTGCACACCTATATTGCTAATAAATTGAATCTCTTCTTCAGATCCTTAAATGAAACTTTTAAAATATAATTTATTTAGAAATAAAAGTATGATGCAAGTCAACACTCTTGAGATTAAAATGGAAAGATTCTTTTTACTTACAGAGTTGAGAATCATGGAAATCAAACGTCCAATATAGATTGTAGGAATAATATCTCATTTTCTATTGCATATTATTCACTTGTCTCTCATTCCCCATTTATTCTTTTGAACTTGAAAATTACAAGCTCTTTGTCCATCCACCAATCTGAATTTCCACACCAGAAAAACATTCCATCTCACCCCAAGGTTGTTGTTAGTTGTTTTCAATAGTTAAGGGTGTTTTGCCACTGCAGCTGTTTTGTTTTGGTTTTTTTTTTTGTTTGTTTTTTTTTTTTTTTTTTTTTTTTTTGCTTACCATCAAGAAATGTCACTGTTGCTAAAATATTCTAGGTTCCAACCACCTGCCTTACCTCAACAGTTTTCTCTCCTAGCTTTATCAAGTCATGGAATAGAATTTTTTCTATAGTATATAATACTATTTTCTGGAAACTGGCCTTTGAAACACCTTAAAATATTATTACTTATTCTACATTTGTTAAAATGTTCATATTTCACAGTCTTTCTGTTTTAGACATCTATCTTCCCTACAACCAAATTTCTTCATTAGACTACAGAATCTCTAAATATCTATAGATGCATGGTAACTATATTAGCTTCCTGACACTATAGGAAAATGCATGAAATAATCAGTTTATAAGTAGAAAATGTTTATTGTGGTACAAGCTTTTGGAGGCTCCAGTTCATGATTGGTTAGTTCCATTGCTTTTGGGCCTGTGTCAAGGCAGCATATCATAGCAGAAGCATATAAGTGAGCAAAAGCACTCACCTCATCAACCAAAAAGCAAAGAAGAAAGGACTGGGGTCCCACAGTCCCCTTTGAGGACATCCTTCCAGTGCCTAACACATCTTACAGACCCCACCTATCAAAAGTTCCACAGCCTCCCAATAGCACCACCCTAGAGACTAAGCCTATAAAACGCAGACATTTGGGAGATATTCATTACCCAATAGCTAAAGTCTGTATAAGAATGATCCCAACATAGTTTTGACTTTACCAACAAAATGAGCTCAAGAAAGCTCCAGTGTGGTACCTGAACCTAGCAAGTTTACTCGTGAAAGTGACACTCTTAGTTCAGTCTTCTTGGTTGTAACTCCGTATTGCTAAACTTTAGCTCTAGAGCCACTTTTGCACTCTATAAAATGTCTTCTGCTTTCTCTATAATATTCCTTTTCAGAACTGTGACTTAATGCCTTAGTATTCATCAATTAGATGTTCTTTAAAAGATACACATGAAACACTGCTGTGCTGCTGTTTTGGAAACTGCCATCAGGATTTTTAGGGAAGATAATTGCAAATGTCAAACTGGAAAGTAGTTGAGAAATGAAACACAGGAGTCATCTGAAATTTAAAATATCATTTTTTTGAGGCTAATAAAGTAGAACTAGAGATCATGTCATGGTTCAGCAGCCACAGTCAAGCTTTCTAATGTTGGGGTGTCCTATGTTTAGCTGGGGCAACCCCCTACTGCAAAAGAATAGGAGTAAATTTTATCGTGGAGTAAGTTCCCTTACCCCAAAACCCAGACCCACAGCTACTTGTCTTTTTAGGGACCATGAGAGAAAGATTCCCCAGGCCTAACTTTAGGGCCTTCATCCTTAGCACATAAAGGTTGTCTGTCCTGTAGACAAGACAGGCTGATAAGAGAGAAATGGCAAGTGTTTCATTCTTCATGCCTTTTCCTAAATGTACCAATGGCATGAGTCACTCCGCCTCCTCTGTGGACAAGGGAGTCAGGGAACAGAGAGAGTCCAAAAGTTTCCCCTTTAGATATGAGGAAAAGGTAGTTCATATTTCATCATTGTATGCCTCTTTCCTATATAGCACAATGACAAAACTAGTTCCTAATTAAATAGCATAGCTCAAATGTTACTCTGTCCCCAGCACATGGAAGTATTCAGTAGTTTCTTAAATTCCCACTGGACGTTAGAAGCCATCTTTTACCCTGACAATTATCTACTCTAATGTGCATGCTTGTCCTTCATCTAGCCTAATGTGCATTTCTGAGACCACTTGGTTCCCCATGCCTGGACCAGCTTGTAAGAATGATTCTCTGACTTGGTGTGCTATATTATAGTGTGGTTTCAAATTAACAGGTTAATAGAGGTCAAGCACCTGAATTTGTTAAAATAAATCCCGCTGAAGTTTTGTTTTTAAAGATGATTTGTGAATTATGACCATTAATTATCTACAAAACATGTTGAGCTTCTAGACCAGTGCCATCCAACAGAAACATAAGCTAAGAGTACCGTTCAGTGTCATGAAGTATATTTACACTGTTGTATAACTACTACCACTATCCAGCTCCAGAAATTTTTGATCAGCCTATATTGAAATGGTGTACCCATTAAATAGTAACCTCTCATTACCCCCATCTTTCAGTCCTTGGTAACTACCATTCTACTTTCTGTCATTATATATTTGACTACTCCATGGACCTCCTGTAAGTGGAACCATGCAATGTTTAAATATTTGTCCTTTTGCGTCTGGCTAATTTCACTTTAGCATCATGTCTTCACTGTTCATCCATGTTATAACATGCATAGGAATTTCCTTCCTTCCTTTTCTTAAACTGACTAATATTGTATTTTTTTTGTATCACATTTTGTTTTTCCATTTATCTCTCCTTAACTTGAATTGTTTCCTACCTTTTAACTATTGTGATTAACGTCTAATGTGAACATGAGTGTAAAGTATTCTTTAGGATATATGAACAGCAATGGAATTGCTGGAACAAATGATAATTCTATGTTTAATAATTTGAGAAACTACCATAGTGTTTTCCATAGTGGCTGCAGCATTTTATATTTCCACCAAAAATGCCAAAGAGTTCTCATTTTTCTACATACTTACCAATGCTTTTTTGTTTTATGGTGGTTTTGTTTGCGTTTTTGTTTGTTTCTGAGACAGGGTTCTTACTATTTGAAGTAGTATCTCATGGTGGTTTTAATTTCCATTTCTGTAACGATTAGTGATGGTGAGCATCATTTCATTTGCTTCTTGGCTATTGAATACTGCCCTTGTCCAATTTTGAATTGGGTTATTTGCTATTGTAGTTTTAGGAGTTGTTTATGTATTTCTGGATGTCAATTCTTTATCAAATAGGTGATTTGCAAATCCCATTCTGTGGATTCTTTTTACTCTGTTAACAGCACATAAAAGTTTTCAGTCTTTTAGAAAAGTCTTATAGAAAAAGTCAAGGCAAACAGTAATCCAGAGAGTGGGGTGACTGTATAATTTTCAGACAAAACAGACTTTATATTAAACAAGGTTATAAGAGACAAGGACATTACATATTAATAAAAGGTTCTACAGAGTAATAAAATATAACAATTATAAACATGTATGTATTTAATATACATAAAAATGTGAAGCAAAAATTGTCAGAATTTAAGGAAGAAACAGTTTTAAAGTAATAGGTGGAGTTTTCTGAGCCTTAGTGCCATCTCTTGGAAACCTCTGCGTCACAAGAGTGAAGTGGAGGAAGAAGCAAACGTGTAGGCTGAAGTGCAAAAGAAGAAAGATGAGGCAGAGGTCCAGGTAAACTAGCAAGTACACTGATAGAGTTTGATTTTTCTGTTTT